GCATTGTTATCTTATATTTATAAAATAAATAAAATAAATTTCTTTTCTAGTTACTTATTTTAGTTCTATTCTAACTTAAGATGTCTAACAGGGTGGTAATAAGTTACTAGACTTATAACTAGTATAGGTTCTTGTCTTTAAATTTCGTTTATCTATATAGCTAGTTCGTGTTTGCTGAGTTCTCTATACTATTTATTTCTAGCTACTTATAGTACTTATTAGTATTTATATATTCCATCTCTTAAAGTAACCTCCTAGTATTTAGTGATATAGTATTTCTTTTTATGGTATTTTAATTTGCAGATCTAGTAATGTTCCTAGCGTATTTATTATATAATTATTATAGATATTAGCTCTTTATCTTTTATTATCTTTTAATTTTAATATTATCTGAATTTCTAATTCTTAGCCTTAAAGGGTCCTTCTTCTTATTAAATTATCTTATAGAATTAATTAGTCTTTTCTATAAAGCTGGCTTAATATTGTCTGATAGCTATTTTTTATATAATAGTTATTATATCACTAGCCTGTTCTACTAGATAATTCTTAACTTACTAATATAATATTTCGTATTCTTATTTAAGATGTGTATGGCTTCTATAGATCTAGTATTATTTTTTCTAGATTTATTTTATAATTATTTTTTAAGTTACTTAGTCCTTAGCTTTCTCTACTTAGACTATAGTAATTTTAATTAGTGTTTTAGTTTAGACATAAGCCTGCTTAACATCTACTCTTTATTATTTATAGTCTTTAATAAAATATTCTTTTTTTCTATATCCTAAGCATACCTTACGCGTATAATGATCTATTCATTCCTTAATATATTTATCTTACTTTCTTTTATTAATCCATGTATTTTTGATTGATATATGATTAATTTCTATTATATTATAAGTCTAGGTATCTTTTCTATTCCTTTATAGTACGTAAATTACTAGCTTAGTGTTATTTTTCTTTTCTTATTTTCTTTAGTACTAGTAGTTATTAATAGTCACTACTTATTTAATAATTTTTAAAAGTATACTAAATTATTTTCCTTATGAAATTTTATTCTTAATTCTGTCTTTTAGTCTCGCGTAGTATATTATAATTAATAGTTAATCTTTCTAATTTAATTATAATTAGATTTACTTAAATTCTGCTGTGTAGTTAGCTACTAATATTTATTACTTAAGTTATTAAAGCTTTTAAATTACCTCCGTTTCTTTATTAATTTCGCTAAAGACTATAATTATTTCCTTTTTAAATACTTTATAGTTCTTGAATGCTTGCTTTATATTACTATTATAGTCTTTAAGTTCTACTATTCCTAGGTTTAGGTCTCTGTTTACTAAATAGTCTTTTACTAGTAGTTTAAATTATCTTATAACTCTCCCTATTATGTTCATACTAGCTGCTAAGATCTAATCCTAATTAGTTATAAATAATGCTTAATTAAACTAATAGTATAAGTTTATTATTACTATAAATGTCTTAAGATTATTTTTATTACTATTAAATTTTACTAGTAGGTATATTTTTGCTATATCTCCCTTCCTATTTTTTACTATATTAACTTATTATTTTATATTAATTAAGGTATTATGTAACTCTATAATGGCTACTCTTTATTCTTATATAATTTATTAGGTACTCTTTATACCTAATGTACTTTTAGTAGTAGATAAAAGTTCTATTATAACTTCTTCTTTACTACTACTATTTTCTAATGAATAGAGTTTTTATTTATGCTTATAGTAGGTTATTATAGACTATAATTAGAAATTTATATATTAGAATTAATCTAACGTCCTCTTCTATACTCTTTTAAAGGGTAGTTATAATATTATAAGTTGCCTTAACTAATAGTATGTTTTATATTATAACTCTTCTTTAACTGGTTATTTAATAAGTTTCTAGCTCTTTCCATATCTTAAACAGATAGCCCTAGGTTTAATAGAATAGAGTTTAGTCTTTATCATAAAAGTAGGAGGAGATTATATAATAGAATAAATAAAATAGTAGTTAAACTACTTCACTTAAGGTCAAAATCTTAACTTAGAGATAAAATTTCGATTTTAGAGTAACTATAAAAAATCTAAAATATCCCTAAGCTGTTTTATGTCTTATATTTATAGGAAATTCCTCGTGCGTATAATATATACCTATTGGTAGTATATTAGATACTGCTAGAAATTACTAGAGATTACTAGAGATTACTAGAGCTTTATTAATTTTATTTAACTTCTATTTACTAAGCCTTACTTAATTACGTGCATGACTACTTCTAATCTACTAGTATAGTTTTATATCTCTATTCTTACTTCTTAGCTCTTACTTTAGCCTGTGCTAATATATTTTATGTCTACTTATAATTCTTCCTTTTTAGCTTAAATATATATTTCTATTCTAGAACTTTATTAGCTATTATAGCTAGTTCCTTTAGCTCTTTAAGTATAGCTATTTTACTATTACTGTCCGTAATAAAAGCCTTATAGCTTTATATAGCTTTAATTCTTTATCTTTATTTATAGCTTATAAGGCTATAAAGAGATTCGACTAAATTCATAATTTAGCAGGATTATTATTAGGTTATATTATTAGTATAAAGTTAGAGAGTGAATTTTTAGTATTTAGGTGTTCTACTCACTTAAGTATTCCGCTCACCCATAAAACACATTATATAAAAAACTATTAGTATTAATAGTATTTAAGTACTTTTATTATAAAGTAAGTAAATTTTAAATAATATTACTAATAGTAAAGTAAAGTAAAAACTTATAAAAAAAGGTATATAAAAATAAAATATTAAAGTTGGCATAAATGTTAAAGGACTTTACTATACTTAGTAATAAGTAATATAAAAAAAGCTATATAAAAAAAGTAGTTATAAAAAAATAGTATAAAAAAAACAGTATAAAAAAAGAAATAATATAAGGAGAAAAATAGTATAAAAAAAGTAGTATTAAAAAAAATAGTATTAAAAGAGAAATAGTATTAAAAAAGAAGTAGTATTAAAAAAAAAGTAGTATTAAAAAAAAAGCAGTATAATAGAAGTTACGTTAAAAATGTAACTATTTAATTTAAATTAGCTTTTACTTTAAATTTAAATTAGTTTTTATATTAAATAGATTTAGCTTTTATATTAAATTAAATTTAGCTATTAAGGAAAAGACTTTTTTAAACTTTTTTTTTTTTTACAAAGAGCGTAATTTAAATTAAATTTAATATATATTAAGAAGAAAACTTTCTTAAACTTTTTTTTTTTTTATAAAAAGTATAATTTGAATTCAATATAGAGCTCTAAAGGCAGCTTAATGTAGGTTTAAATATAAATTAGTAAATAAATTAGTAAAGGCTTTAATAAAGCTAAATATTAGCTTAATATAGTATAAGTACCTAGCTTTTTAAGTACTAGAGTTTATTTTATTAGTAGTAATATCTTTAGAGTTACTATACTAGTTATAAAAAGAAGATAAACTTATTAATAAAGTATAATAAATATACTAGCAAATATAAAGAGTATAAAAAAAGAAAAAAAAATTAATAATAAGGTATTAGCTTTTTTTTAGTATAGTATATTAATAGGTTTTTTTACTAATAAGTTTTTTTATAATAAAAATTAGTTTACATAAACTTATTAAAAAAATTAAACTAAGTAGTAAATAAAAATAATAAAAAATTTTTTTTTTAAGTTTTAAAGAAATATAATATATTTATAATATTAAATTTTAATAACTTTATTTAATTTTAAAAATTTTTTTAATATTAAAAATAATACTATTATTACTACTATTTTTATATATGTTACTATTTATATAATTTTTAAAATATATTTATTTACTACTTTTTAACTTTTTATATAAATTAATAGTTTTAGTTAAAATATTATATATATATAAGAATTAAAATTATAAATTAAATTATTTTAAAATTAATAGTAATAAAAACTATAAATAAAATAACTATACTTTATAAATTACATATTTATAAAATAATAACTAGTTATATATTACTAACTTTTAATATGTATTTTACTAATTTTAACTAGTATATTTTTAGTAAAACTATTACTAATATTTAAATTTTTAATATATATTTACTTATTTTAAAAAATTAATGTTATTTAAATTTTATTTAGAAAAGAGTATAATATTTTATTTTAAAATACTTTTAGTGAATAAAATAAAGTTCGTTTTAATATTTTTATAATATTTAAAATAAATTAGTTTTATATGTTAGATTTTAAAGTATAATATTTTTTTTTTTTAAATTCAATTTCATATTATTTATTATTAATAGTAAATAATTACTTTATATTATTTTTTTAAAAAAAAAATTTATAAAGTTTTTAACAATATATAATTAAAATTTTAAGTTTAAGCCATAGTTTTTATTATTAAATAGTTTAATATTTTAATTTAGTTAGTTTATACTATTAAGTATATATATATTTATATATTTTTTAATTATAAATAGTTATATATATACTAGTAGTTTAAAAAAAAAAGTAAAAAAGTATTTAATAGCTACTAAAATAAAATTACTTATAAATTAACAAAACAAGCTAATAGTAGACTACATAGAATAGGCTACTAAATGTAATAAGAGTCTACATTAGATAAGAGTGGGAAGAAGGGGCTATATAGTATGATAGGGTGCGAGCAAAAACAGCCGGTTAATAATGGGGAAGCAAACGCGCGTGTTAGGCTTTTCTAAGTGCACACAAGGCGATATTCTAGCAAGGCGAGCATGGCAAAGGAAGCGTCAATAATATATCGACAGAACTGATGTAGGTCTATTTTTAGGCTCGTTTAGTAGTTGTGAATTTTAGAATCCAGGAAGCATGAAACGAGATAGCATTAGGCAAGAAAAGCTGACGGGTTGCAGGGGTTGGACTTGGCACTTTGGGTGCAAGTGACTCCAAATGCGGCGACAGAAAACCTCCAAAAAAGGAGTCAAAAATCCCCAGACATAGAGTTACTGTAGTAAACTCGGCACTGTCCCTCACACGTTTACGGCGCGAAGTCCTTTGTAATGTGCCGTCGAATCCAAGGCCAGGCATGCTCCTCAGTGTTGATATCTGGTGAGTGCCCTGGCTAGGAGAGCATGTTGATGTGTGAGGCTTCAGGGAACTGCGTAGCGATTTTGGACGCATCAGCAGGTACTCTATCCTTAAGGAGGATAGGATCCTTGCCTTGCTTCTTGAGCTCGCTTATCCAAGGTACTAAGAGAGGCTTAAACACCTTTTCTTGGTGTCGGTACCTATTTAAACTTCCTTTAGTACAATCCCTACGCTTCAATTTTATGTCCTTCCGCCAGGCCTTCTGTCTAGAGTTAACCCCTAAGTTCCCTATGAACCTTAGTGCCCTACGTGCAATAGGGACTAGCTCCTCACGCTGTTTCCTGTTAGCCTCATTTCCTTATCTAGTTTTTTCTTTGCCTCAGCCTCCTTCTCTTTAGATTCTTTACCATAGATGTGGCACGGGCTCTTTAAATCATAAGTAAATGCTCTATAGAACTACAGGGTACACGTATTATAGACCTTAGGCACTTTAACGTCTGGATGATAGGTTTCTCTCTTTTTACACCAAGCTCTTTTCATTTTTTGTTGCTCTCCTACACGTGCAGGAGTCTCATTAGTGTACACTACTTGTCGGAAGTTGAAGCACTTGTTATTTTACTTCTCGTACTTATCTAGGTTATGGGCCAGTACCCACTTATAGTGTTTTCGTATTGGTCTTCGTTCAATGAGGCCCTAAAACCAATTACTTGGCAAGCGTAACCGGTTTTGTACATTACGTTTTCAGATAGAGAGTGGCTGGTTTGAGGTATATAATTGAAATCTCCTTCCTTAATTGCCTGTAGAGACTCCTTCTCCTGTTGCTTACGATTCTAGGTAGTGATGCAGATAATGTCGTCCTTTTTGCTCTCGTGCAAGGATTTCCTTCCTGCTCTTCCTAGTTTAGTTTTGTACAAATAGGAGTCGTAAATAGGCAATCTAGTGTCCTCTGCACGCTCCTTTGTTCGCTTTATTAACTTTGATAATCTAGATTGGACCAACAATGAGTAGATTGGCTGTTGAATTAACAGAGGCCTTTCCGTGAATAATAGCACCTTCTATAACCGAGTGCTGGCCTCTTAGGTAGCACTATTGCTTGTATACTGAGTTCTCCTGTTGATCCTCTCCTGATGATCTTCTCCTGTCGATCCCCCTATCGACATTTACAAGATCATTATTTAAGTAGGATAGCCATCCATAGTTTTCAATTCATGAGGTTGCTACATCTTTTCCCTGCGTCCGGTCAGACCTTCAACGAGCGCGCGTCCTACTAGTTCTAGCTCACGCCTATTAGTCTTATTTTTTTTTTCCTTTCTTTTTGCCTTTACATTTATGAGGCTTGTGGGGTTTGATTTAGGCGATCTATAGTGTATTTTGGGTGCGTTTCGGTTATTCTATCGCGTTGTTTGGATGAGATGTTGACATGTTGGAGGCTGCCAAGGGACTTGCTTATGATTTAGAAAATACAAGCTCCTCGTCAACTTGAGCAAACAATGAATTGCCTGGAAGAAAAGAGGCCGGAGATATATGTCTAAAGCTAGTAAGGTCATCGAAGAAGCTTTAGCTCACCCCTGCTTGAACTGTGGAAAAATTGATTTTGGTCAAATTCTGGAGTAGTAGTTGAGAGGAGATCTAATAATAGACACCTACCCTAGTCCATGACCTTAAGTACAATCGGCTACTTTCATACCGCACCCTTAGTAACTTCTTACTTGATGTGCTAGGTAGTGGATTGATGAATACGTCTAGTTAGCAATGCACACTCTACGCATGCACTGTATACCCTAATGTTAATTTTTATCCTATGGCCGAATTAATTTGCATTGCTTTGATATAAGATGAATTGCGGAAAGAGCAGGCAGAGCCGACCATCGGGAGTCTGTAAGCAAGCAACAGATATTTGATCGATTTTTCTCTCCTTATTTCAAAACCCCAAACAATTTATGCAGGGCCAATAGAGATCGTCGGGATTACCAGTATAATTATAAAGCTCACTGTTGCCGTAAAAGCGACCCCCTGCTAGTCGGATATACAATAGGCCGGCTTAGCGTTTCACTGCTGTATATAGCTTCTGCTCGCCCTCTAGATTCTCAGGTCCTCAATAAAATCTTGTTTAGTCTCTCAATCTCAACAAGAACTAATTACGGTAACACCCATAATGGCATTTATGTGGCATCTCCTGCATGTGCCGTCGTGATGAGGCTTGAGAACTATAGGCATAAAATTGAGCACGGACTCATGGAGGGAAAGTTAGCTGTCTCAAATTTGATGAAAATTGAATGAAAGACTAGAAACGGAGTACCTTATATACTCTGTTCTTTGATCACAAGAAATCTATATCGTGAAAGTATGAAATCTTGCATCGCTTTCTTTTCACACCTCCTTTCTCACAAGCACGTGTCATTCGTGAATTTCCATGAGTGATATAAGGTGTATATAAAGCATTCCCCCTTCTTCTATTCCCCTTTAGGCGCCAAGAAAATAACTATAATTCTTACTATCCACTAAACAGCCTAATGACCAACTGTTGCCATAAAATCAACCTCCTGCCGGTCGGACATACAATCCGCCGGCTTGGCATTTGTCTGCTGTATATAGCCTTTGCTTGCCCTCTAGATTTCAGGTCTTTAATGCAATCTTGTTCAGTCTCTCAGCCGCTCAACAAGCTTAATTTACGGTAACACCAACAAATAACCCGTAACCATTACTCATAGCTTTTTCCGCATAACAATCAAGGTTGTGCCATCATGTGCCACGGAAAGGCCCTCATTTTTGCCTACGAATGTGAAGGCTTCTATATTATAAAATGCACAAAACCAGGCTGCCGCAAACGAATCCCGCGTACGGCCAACACTCAAGCATGCCTGAAACATGGAGGAACTGGACCAATAATGCCACATAATTTTACTTAGGTCAAGCAGATACCGTAATAAAGGGGAGTCCGAGTTTGAAGGACTTGATGCAGTGACAGGCACAGGACGTGTTATGTGGCCGGGAAGATAACGGAAATCTATAAGGCTAGTATTTATAGGTGAATAGAAATTAATTTAAATCAAAGCTTGTCTTTATAAACAGATATTGAAAACTGGAAATCATGCTCAAAATGAAGATTTTAATCTTATAAATTAAAGCCTACGTGGTCTAATTTCAAAATGTTTTAACGTTTATGCAATGATCATCGTCGCCAAGTACGGCTAAAATTCTAAGATACATGACTATCATGACTTCATAACACATTAAAGTTGGATTAGATACAACCCCGAAAGGGTCTCAGCACACTTGGTACCCGGCCCAAACACCAGAACTCAAAACCATATGCAGAGACCGGCTTATACCATGTCCGACACCCTGGTAGATTTACCAATCTGCATCAGGCTAGGCTCGATAGGTATTTCAGTCGTTTGCATTATATCATCCGCTCGTTCCATGGTTCCCTCTTTCTCCATACTCATCATAGAGGTAGGTTCCCTCGGGTCAGCTCCGCTTTCAATTACTGGTATTTGCGCCTCGCTGGCGGGTAAATTTCGACAATTAAACGACTCAGTACGTGCAACAGGTGGCCGTTGAGGATACCAAACTGACTGCTTCCACGGCGTTTCCACGAACAACGAGTCAGGGTGGCGGTTGGAAATTGAAGTCGAGTAGCGGTGCCACAGTTGGGAGGAATTTCGGGAGCGACCCTTCACGGTCTCAACGAGCTTGTTCAGAATGGAGAACTCGACGCGGAGTTTTATACCGTAGACACAGGGTTTATAGACCGCTTGGACGTAGAAAATGCCTGGTATGTAGGAGAGAACCAGGACTGAGATGTCAAGGAAGATAACCAAGAGGTTGGTGTAGTTGAGATGCTGCATTACGCGGCGGATAGTTTTGTCATCGTAGCCCAGTATCGTGCTGGATTTTAGGTAGTTTCGAGTTTGGTAGACGTAGAGGGTGGAGATGATTGTTTCCTGGAGAAAGAAGGTGGTGACTTGAATTCGGTCCATTATAAGATTTGGGTTGTCGAGCTGGACGAGACCTATGACGATGGTTGGGATAGAAATGAAAATCGCAGTGCCGATTATCATTCCCAATACCCAGCAAAGGTGTTTGGAATTATTCATAACCAAATGCAGCCGCGAATAGAGCACCAAGGACTGTGGGACAACCATGATCCACCAGGTGACATATATTGGGGGAATTGCTGCCCAAATACTTTTGATTATTCCAAAGTCGTAAAGAAGCATGCATAGCGGTCCAAGTAATACTCCCCATGAACATAGACAACAGCTCCAGAAGTATAAACCTCGTCGCCGCCGAAAGGTCATGAAAAGCCGGATGTTGAGTTCGATGCAAATATACCAGGCGATGCCTATGAAGGCGGCCATCGTCATTGCAACTGGAAGGTCTTTTTTGAGATGATCTGCGGGAGCTGGCATGACGAAAGAACTGAAAACTGCGATATCTGTATGGTCATGGCTGGTTGGAGAAGAGAATAAAGAATTATAGAAGATTGAATGCTAAATAATCCAGCTCTTGAGATGAATGTCAGGTGTAAATAGGCTACATGCAAAGGGCTGACTGATCGTCCCATTTCATAGTCGCAAAATGGCCAATGCAATGCTAGACTGAAAGCAGCGAGGCGCTATACCTATTTCGTTTAGCACGGTGCGTGCCAAGAGCCGAATAGCATGTGTAGGGATCTCCATTTAGTCATGAGAATTTTGATGACTTATTTTTGTGCCATGCTGCAGGGCTTTTTTTTCTTCGGCCCTATCCAATGCCAAAGAATTGGGTACCGTCTACAGTCCCATTCCAGCCCCGAACGGACACTACAAACTTCATCACTCCCAATACTCTTCCTCTACCCCTACACTACCAGTAATTATAGCTACAGACGGCTTTATAACGCTAGATTTAGTTATCTAAACAAAAGCATTTTAGATTCGACCCCAAATATAGGGCGGTGCGAGTTGAAGTACAAGACGTATTTTTGTCTGTCCCGCCGGAGCTAGAAGGTGCTGTACCGCTTGCCCAGGTGAGTTGCATGGTGGTGGAATTGGCGGTGACAACGACGCGGTTGACAGCTCTAATTTTAATTAAACGATCGCCTTTCCAATTCGCAATTATTACTATTCTAGACATTACAGACCCGCGCGAGCCTGAATCAAAAACATATCTCGGGGACTGAGAATAGATCCGGTTAATCTTGATTGCGCAAATTTGGTTTATGGGCAGGACAGTACCTCACGGAAACCGAGCCAGGGTCTATATATAGAATTCCAGTA